ACGTCCGTATATTACGCACACGATCAACGACCCAGATCGCTCTTGCAAAACGAGACGATCCTGAATCGCTTGTGTCCTCGCCTGGCGAAACAAGTCGCGCTTGAACTTAACATCAACGAGGAGGCATTCAGATCCAAAATCTGAAGCTCAACAGGAGCGATACCCCATCGTAGTGTCGATATTAGAAACTCGAGTTTACGATATATGGGTCGCCGCGAGTAGATAAATCTGGGCGCGCGAGTGAAGTTCAGCCGGGACCGGTGCCAGGTAAACTGGTGCCAGGTAAACTGGTGCCAGGTGCCGTGGGTGCCCGCGGTGGCAATCGTGGTTTGGCCACCTGTGTGCCCGCCTGGCTGGCTGGCCGGACGTGGTGTGGTGTGGCAGCGCTTCTCGAAGCTGTGCAAAGACCTTGAAATGTTGAAGGAGATCGCTGCTGGGCAGTTGAACGATTTCCACGTGTTGTGTTTACAGTTCATTATGGCTTTGACTTGCTATGGCGCTTTGCAGTATTGGAAACAAATAAGGGGAAGAGGCATTACTTATGCAAATAACTCTCTTAATTTGAAATCCAACTTTTAAATAAAAAAAACCGTAACGTTACTTACATTTCAGGAATAAATATTTTGAAGGTTTTTGTTGTCGAACCTGGGCCTACATTGGGAGGTTCTCAAGGTTTGCCGAATGTAAATCTACAATCGGAATTTTTGAAAACTCATTTTTTTTGTTTCAACATAAAACGACAGCGATAAGGCGCATTGGAAGTGCAGTACATTTTTTAAAGCGTTGTGACGCCAACGCTATGGCTGTGCAGTTGTAACTGGGTTCTAAATAGAAGTCGTTAATAACAATGACAACTTGTACAGCGCCGAAACAAAGCAAGCCATTACATGGGGGCATTGATCCTGTGACACGAGATTACGCGGGTAGGGTTTGTCGAGCCCACACTGCCTCATTTCACGTGGCGCACGCCTGTATTCATCCAGCACGGTGGACACAGCGAGGATTGGTGGATCGCACAAATGCTGCACAACTCTCTTCTCTGTGGGTGTCGTCGAGATGGCACACCCGACGATAGAGTGTTGCCCCCTCGCACAAGTGGGTTTTCTCTGGGTGCTCCAGTTACCTCCCACATGTAAACACGCATTGATTGGTCTGAAAACACTTTACTATATACAGAGGACTGCAGAGCTTGGAGGGGGGAGTTGGCGTTAGGTCACCACCTAGCTGCTGCCTTCCAGCACCTCCAATTAGCACGGTTGGCTACGTACGGTGCGAAAGAAGTTCAACATACGTACATTGTCCGTGGTTCCACATGCCTCTGAGTCGTTCTCTCTCTCCCTCTCTCTTCCAGAGCGAATTAATTTTGTGCGGCGCGTTTCCAATCATCTTTAGATTTTAGTTTAAATGCACCCCGTCTCATCCGGTCTCAGAAGCTAAACAGAGACGCATGTACGTACGTTGAACTTCTTTCGCACCGTACGTAGCCAACTGTGCTAATTGGGGGTGCGGGGGAAGGACAACAAACTAAACACAAAAAAGCAGTTTGAGGATCCTGGTTTGTATTTGAATGCGAGACTGCCTGGGAATGCCAGGTGCTACAGGTTTGAGCTATGCTGGGCTGCAGTGGTCAGTCGATGGCGATACAGCGACTGTTTCCATTGGGAGAGTAATTCATGAGTTGCGTTGAATCAATCTCCGTGGAGCTCAGAGTGCCGAGTCCACTCATAGGTGTGCGGTTCTCTCCGGGCACTCAGATGTCCTCCCACATGCCCCCCCCTGACTCAATGGAATTGGCGAAACATTCCAACGCAGGACCTGTCTGCAAAAAATAGCCCCACCTCAGTGGAGCTTTCCTGGATACACTGTACTGTATAAAGGAATTCTTAGAGGTTTTTTTTTTTACATAAACCAGTCTTCAGCCAGGGGGCCAGTAATAATCTGTTAAGGTTTAAAAACATTGTGTTTTCTTCATAGTTTGCAAACTTTCTGTGTAAGATCGATTAACACCACGACCACTTAATCCTGATTATCATAAATCATCTTCGCCCATGGTCAATCCACTGCTGGATGATAGCCTTCCCAAGCCATTACCATCACTCGTGATCATGCGATGCAACAACCTACCTAGCACCTGCATGTAGACAACATGACATCAATAATTTCTCCCCAAAATCTACAACTTTTAGCCTTCGGCACAACATTCTTACGTCGCGCAAGATGTCACGGTATGTTCTGCATTCAAAGAAGATCAACTCAAAACACACACAAAAAAACTCTTAACTTGTAGCTATAACCCAGAGGTTGCGTGTTCGAGACCGATCATAGTTCACCTTGCTGGTCAGTGTGGCCTGATAAAGGTGAGCGGGTCAGGACCGGTTCAGATATCTGTCACTGGTCCACTGGTATAAGCTGTGGCCGGGGACTTGAATTGGCCGGTGGACTTTAATTGACCGGGTTCGTTCAGAGGGCAAAACGCGACACCCGCAGCACCTCCACTCCCTTCCTTCACAGGGATTCCTCTACTTACGAACGAGTTACGTTCCCAGAGGATCTGTTCATAAGTCGAATTGTTCGTAAGTCCCACCTTTAGTCACGTCGAGTCCAAACGTCTTGTACGGCGTGTACACTGAACACGGGGAAATGGCTTTAAAAGTTGAATAATCTCCTGTAGATGTAGATGCGGCTGTGGTTTTCACGTTCTGCATGATGTGAATGCCGCCACCTGCGGTTGAACTTAACGACTCTCGGTTTCGAACAAGCGACCGGACACACGGACAGGTTTGTTCGTATCTCTGCACATCCGTAAGTCGAGTGTTTGTAAATAGAGACGTCGCTGTATTTCGATGTGCGTGTGTTTATGTCACTGTTACGACTAACACACCATACAGTACCTAGAGAGCTTACGTGCACCTGTGCCTATTTTTTTTTATAATTTTTACATTTTAATTGTATGTGCAGTATACGCATGTTGAACTTCTTTCGCACCGTACGTAGCCAACGGCCCGTTAAATAGTCCCGCAGTTTTCCTTAAGGAGGACCCTATGTACTCGTTCTATATGAACAAACGAAAATAATCCGTGCAACGGAATAAAAAGAAACGTACAATGCAAAGCGATCTATTTTCACCAGAAAAGCCTCGCCAAGTCTCAAGATTCGGGGTTTGTTGGGTTTTTTGTGCTTTCCGTTCATTGTCCTTCCCCCCATGGGCACGGTTGGCCACGTACGGTGCGAAAGAAGCTCGACTGCTTCGCAAGGAGGGTCCCAACAATGCAATGTCTGGCTGCCGCCTGATGAAGCTGGTTGTAATTACTGGCGAAACGTCGTACTCATATTGTAAATGTTGTGGCTTGGCTCTCCAAACACACACAACGCGGTTAGTGCTGTACCAGTGACGAATTGGCCACGTTCTGTTAACGTGACAACCCTTTACTAGTTGGCTGTGTGGGGTGGTGGCGGGTTTAACGACACACATTTAGACATTTACGCGATCTAACCCCAAAAAGAACTCTATTATGAATGCAATGTTTGGCCGATTCGGTAAATATCATCAGAATGACGGATTATATAGCTCGGAAGAAGTGACGCACACTTGTTACGACTGTAAAGGCACGCATGCACAGAGCGCATGGTGTGTCTCTGCACTAGCAAACACAACACGTGTTTTAGTTTATCGGCCCCTTGATTCTCGGGACCAATGCCATGCATGCACGTTGAACTTCTTTCGCGCCGTACGTAGCCAACCTTGCTAATCGAAGGTGTCATCCAGTAGCATTTGCTTTAAGTGATAAAAACTCCGGACCGGTGTGCGACCGTCTGGGTCTGGTTATCAGCAGTCAGGCTTGTTATAGCAAATGCTGCCGGGCTACCAGATGTTATTGACCAGGGCACTTCATCTGAACAATTGGGATCCTGTTCAACGCAAGATACACTAAGTGTAAGTAGGGTGTGTGTGTGTGGTGTGTGTGGTGTGTGTGTGGGTGGTGTGTGTGTGTGTTGTGTGTGTGGTGTGTGTGGTATGTGTGTGGGTGGTGTGTGTGTGGGTGGTGTGTGTGTGGGTGGTGTGTGTGTGCTGTATGTGTTGTGTGTGTATGTGTGTGTGGTGTGTGTATGTGGTGTGTGTGTGTGTTCTGTATGTGTTGTGTGTGTATGTATGTGTGTGTGGTGTGTGTGCTGTATGTGTTGTGTGTGTGCTGTGTGTGCTGTGTGTGCTGTGTGGTGTGTGTGTGCTGTGTGTGCGGTGTGTGTGCTGTGTGATGTGGTGTATGTGTGGTGTGTGTGTGTGTTGTGTGTGTGTTGTGTGTGGTGTGTGGTGTATGTGTGTGTGCTGTGTGTGCTGTGTGGTGTGCTGTTATATTGTGTGTGTGTGCTGTGTGTGGTGTGTGTGTGCTGTGTGTGGTGTGTGTGTGCTGTGTGTGGTGTGTGTGCTGTGTGTGCGGTGTGTGTGTGCTGTATGGTGTGGTGTATGTGTGGTATGTGGTGTGTGTGCGGTGTGTGTAGTGTGTGTGTGTGCTGTGTGGTGTGGTGTATGTGTGGTATGTGTGTGCGCGCTGTGTGTGTGGTGTCTGTGTGCTGGGTGTGTGTGGTATGTGTGAGTGGTATGTGTGGTGTATGTGTGTGTGCTGGGTATGTGTGGTGTATGTGTGTGTGGGGTATGTGTGGTATGTGTGTGTGTGGTATGTGTGTGTGGTGTATGTGTGTGTGGTGTATGTGTGTGTGGTGTGTGTGTGGTGTATGTGTGTGTGGTGTGTGTGGTGTATGTGTGTGTGGTGTGTGTGGTGTATGTGTGTGTGGTGTGTGTGTGTGGTGTGTGTGTGTCGTGTGTGTGTGTGGGGTATGTGTGTGTGATATGTGTGGTGTATGTGTGTGTGCTGGGTGTGTGTGGTGTATGTGTGTGTGGTGTATGTGTGTGTGGTGTATCTGTGTGTGGTGTATGTGTGGTATGTGTGTGTGTGGTATGTGTGGTGTGTGTGTGGTATGTGTGGTGTGTGTGGCGGACACACCTACCGGTCAGTGAACGGACTCCATCTATCCAAACCAGCGGAGCAGCATGCAAAGAATCACCTCGTCCCCTCCAGGGCTTCGGAGCGCCTTGCGTACAGACGGGGCTGATGATGCTGCTGCTGCTGATGACGAAGATTATGAAGCCCTCTGCTGTCCTCCCGTCCTCACGGGCAAGATAGAAGAGGCTGTCCACTCAGCTCCTCGGCATCCCCACACTCTGTGCCTCACGGCCACAGTCGAGCGGTGGAGCGAGCCTGGGCGTGACCACACCACCACCCCCCCACCACCACCCCCCCACCACCACCCCCCCACCACCACCCCCCCACCACCACCCCCCCACCACCACCCCCCCACCACCACCCCCCCACCACCACCACCCCTGTGGTGGTGTGTACGCGTGTGTGTGGTGGTGTGTATGTGGTGGTGTGTATGTGGTGGTGTGTATGTGGTGGTGTGTATGTGGTGGTGTGTATGTGGTGGTGTGTATGGTGTGTGTGTGTGGTGTGTGTGTGTGGTGGTGTGTGCGTGTGGTGGTGTGTGGTGTGTGTGGTGTGTATGTGTGTCGTGGTGTGTACGCGTGTGTGTGGTGGTGTGTGTGTGTGGTGGTGTGTACGCGTGTGTGTGGTGGTGTGTGTGGTGGTGTGTGTGTCGTGGTGATATGTACGCGTGTGTGTCTGTGTACGTGTCCCGCACAGCAGCAGCCGCCGATACAAAAGCGCAAGCTCTCTGTCTCAGCCAGGCATTGTCGCGAGCCAACAACCTTCTTCCCTCCCCTTTCTTTCTTATCCCAAGACGAGCCGCCAATGTTGCTCGGTGAGCTTCCGATGATGATCGATCACTGTTCTGCTGCTGATGATGGTGGTGGTGGTGATGCTGATGATGATGGTGGTGATGCTGATGATGATGATATCCGTTCGCTCCGGATTGCGTGCACGGACCCCGGGGCTGGCGGCTAAACGCGGATCGGAGTGGAGATTCGCGGAGCGTGGAGCTGCAGATCGCCTGAGACAATTCCTCTCTTTCGTGACTGCAGGAATTACTCTGGTTTCTTTCGGTAAAGTTACGTGGAAATAAAATAAATTAAACAAGAGAGTACGACGTTTCGATTGCAACACGAGCAACTGTCATCAGGAAGAACTAAATTTGAGAGAGAGAGACAAAACACAGACACGGAGACACACAGACAGACACAAAAGCAGAGAGAGAGAGACACACACAACAGACACACAGAAAGAAACACAAGCAGAGCGAGACAACACAGACACACAAGCAGAGAGAGAGACACACAACATAGACACACAGACAGACACACAAGCAGAGAGAGAGACAACACAGAGACACACAGAGACACACAACATAGACACACAGACACACAAGCAGAGAGAGACAACACAGAGACAAACAGAGAGAGACACACAACATAGACACACAGACAGACACAAGCAGAGAGAGAGACAACACAGAGACACAGAGAGAGACACAACATAGACACACAGACAGACACACAAGCAGAGAGAGACAACACAGAGACACAGAGAAAGTGAGACACATAACACAGACAGACACACAAGCAGAGAGAGAGACACACACACACAACATAGACACACAGACAGACACAAGCAGAAAGAGACAACACAGAGACACACAGAGAGAGAGACACAACATAGACACACAGACAGACACACAAGCAAAAAGAGACAACACAGAGACACACAGAGAGAGACACAACATAGACACACAGACAGACACACAAGCAGAGTGAGACAACAGAGAGATACACAGAGAAAGACACATAACATAGACACACAGACAGACACACAAGTAGAGAGAGAGACAACACAGAGACACACAGAGACACACAACATAGACACACAGACACACAAGCAGAGAGAGACAACACAGAGACAAACAGAGAGACACACAACATAGACACACAGACAGACACACAAGCAGAGAAAGAGACAACACAGAGACACAGAGAGAGACACACAACATAGACACACAGACAGACACACAAGCAGAGAGAGACAACACAGAGACACAGAGAAAGTGAGACACATAACACAGACACACAGACAGACACACAAGCAGAGAGAGAGAGACACACACAACATAGACACACAGACAGACACACAAGCAGAGAAAGAGACAACACAGAGACACAGAGAGAGACACACAACATAGACACACAGACAGACACACAAGCAGAAAGAGACAACACAGACACACAGAAAGAGACACACAACATAGACACACAGACAGACACACAAGCAGAGAGAGACACAACATAGACACACAGACAGACACACAAGCAGAAAGAGACAACACAGAAACACACAGAGAGAGACACACAACATTGACACACAGACAGACACAAGCAGAGAGAGACAACACAGACACAGAGAGAGACACAACATAGACACACAGACAGACACACAAGCAGAGAGAGACAACACAGAGAGAGAGACACACAACATAGACACACAGACACACAAGCAGAGAGAGACAACACAGAGACAAACAGAGAGAGACACACAAGCAGAGAGAGAGACAACAAAGAGACACACAGAGAGAGACAACATAGACACACAGACACACAAGCAGAAAGAGACAACACAGAGACACACAGAGAGAGAGACACAACATAGACACACAGACAGACACACAAGCAGAGAGAGACAATACAGAGACACACAGAAAGACACATAACATAGACACACAGACAGACACACAAGCAGAGAGAGAGACAATACAGAGACACACAGAGAGAGACACACAACATAGACACACAGACACACAAGCAGAGAGAGACACACAAGCAGAGAGAGAGACAACACAGAGACACAGAGAGAGACACAAAACATAGACACACAGACAGACACACAAGCAGAGAGAGACAACACAGACACAGAGAGAGAGACACACACAACATAGACACACAGACAGACACACCAGCAGAGAGAGACAACACAGATGCACTCAGAGAGAGACACAGAACATAGACACACAGACAGACACACAAGCAGAGAGAGACAATACAGACACAGAGAGAGACACACAACATAGACACACAGGCAGACAGACACACAAGCAGAGAGAGACAACACAGACACAGAGAGAGACACACAACATAGACACACAGACAGACACACAAGCAGAGAGAGACAACACAGACACAGAGAGAGACACACAACATAGACACGCAGACACAACATAGACACAGAGACAGACACACAAGCAGAGAGAGACAACACAGAGACACAGAGAGAGACACACAACATAGACACACAGAGACACACAAGCAGAGAGAGACAACACAGACACACAGAGAGAGAGAGACTCAACATAGACACAGACAGACACACAAGCAGAGAGAGACAACACACAGAGAGAGACACACAAGCAGAGAGAGACAACACAGACACAGAGAGAGACACAACATAGACACACAGACAGACACAAGCAGAGAGAGACAACACAGACACAGAGAGAGAGACACACAACATAGACACACAATTCTCTCTGTCAGTTTAACTCACAGGAGTAGCGAGTTGGGCTTTCGCGACCAATATCATCCATAATACAGGTTGTGTTATTGTTGGGTTTGATCGCGTAAATATATAAATGTGTCGTTAAACCCGCCACAGCCGATTAGGAAGGTGTGTCACGTAAACAGAACGTGCCAATTCGTCAATAGTACAACAACACCGGTGTGTTGGAGAGCAAATCCACCAAATTTACAATCAGATTGTAAATGTTGTGGATCAGATTGTAAATGTTACGGATGTTGCTGTACTTGTAACGAATTGGCACGTTCCGTTTACGCGACAAACCTTACTCATTGGCTGTGTCGGGTGGTGGCGGCTTTAACGACACATTTATATTGACGCGATCTAACCCCCCCGCACCACCCCCCCCCCCCCCCAATAAACCCCCTGTATGATGAATTATCACTGTGCTCGCAATGTGGTTTCCACTCACTCCAGGGCCGCCACCCCCGTGGGAACACGGGGCCAGACGGGGTATTAATTTGTGTTTATTTGGGGGGTTTTAATGTTGGGAAATCACCGAGCCAAGTTGTCAACCGGTGACATGATCAGATCACCCCGTTACGTCTCCAGTCCATCAGCCACCTGCTGTTCTGGACCACTGTTATCCGACGGCATTTGTATTTTTTTTAAGTAAGCAAACCTGGGACCCGTTTCGGCCTCACTGAGTCTCATCAACAGTCAGATTTGATTGTTGTTGTTATGTTTACGCTTGCTTACCGAGTCCCAAGACTTGTTTTTTTCTTCAGGTAGGGCCCTGCCAAGTTTTTGAACGGTCACTGCAGAAGGTTAATTGCCCGAAACATCGACAAATATATATTTTTTTCCTTTTAAGGCCGCAGTGTTGAGTTGTTGTTATTCAGCCCAGGACCAGCCCTGGTTTGAAATTAAGCCCTGGCGCGAATGATTAATTGAGCGGCCTGAGGTCGTGCGGTGGCTGCTTGGCCGAAAAATTCCTCCTCGCAGATTGCCTGGACATACAACAAAGGGCACGAGTTGTGTGCATAGTTGTGATATTTTTTTAGTTAATAGAACACAAAAAGTCGAAGCGAATATGCGTGGGGGTCTTTTTGTTTGTTTTTTGACACGGCTGTTGTTCGGAAACATAGATGATGGCCAAGACCCCCCCCCACTCCCCAACCCATGGCAGTAATTTTCTTAATGCTTTAGCAAAATTGGCGTTACATATTGTGGTGTGTTCAGGCGATATTGTATTCGTGTCGGCCCCGGTCTCAATGGACTCTTATCAGGTTATCAATAAACGCACCTATCTATATATCGTATATCTATCCGGGATATCCTCAATGCGTCTAGACCTTTTTTTCAGGAGGGTGGTGCTGCTGCTTCTTCCTCTGGAATGTTTAGTCAAATTCCATGAAGGGTGTTTTGCCTTCATGTGGGAGGAAACTGGAGTAACCGGTAAAATAATTCCACTTGGGATATCCCACAGAGGGAGATTTTCAAGAAGCAATTTCTGGACCGCCACCTTTTTGCAGTGACAAAACAAGTGTTAGCTACAACTTCAAACGGAGCTGGTGGAGACGAGTTGACGCCCCGCCTGCAATTGTTTTGCTATCATTACAGTCATTATTACGTTATTTTTTTTGCAATAAACACCACCGTACGAGATTATCGGAGAAACTAGTATTTTTTTTCGACGCAATGTTTTACACGAAAGCCCGTGGTGTCATTTTGTCTTGGCGTGACATCGCTCTGCCAGAAGCTACGAGTGTGCTTCTACTTACTGGGCGTTGAAGCGGCAATGTTATCCACCCTGCGGCTAGTAACAAGGTGAGCATCGCCACTTGGAAGTGATTATCGCATTCCGAGACATCTACTTCGGAGAGACAGCTACAGAAACACGTTTTCTTCGATAAAATGTGTGCGTTTGAAAACCCTATCACGTTCACGATTGTCTTGTTTTACTTTCCTATGCTTTGGTCAGTCGTCTTCGATGTTAGTTTGTCCTTGCCATATGTAGCAGGGTTCAGGAATGACGATAGCAGTTACGTAATGTGGCTTCTGCGGCACTGCCATTCAGAGCTGTTAGCAAGCCAACCGGGCGTTCAGACACGGGCAGTTAAAACAGTGAATTACGTTAAACAAAAACACGTTTGAAAGGTTGCTAATCTAAAATGTGATTGAGTTTTCGACAGCCGCAGAGAAACTACGCTTGCCTAACGATTACACATTAACTCTATAAAGTCTAACAATGTGCCGATTTTTTACAGTTATAAAATAAGGCAAGTTGCAATATTGGTCAGCTACCGCCACCTGGTGGAAGAATACGGACATAAAAACATACGGGAAAATGGGAATAAACACATCATTAGACCTCCTTTGCCAGTACGAAAATGTAATAGGGCTTTTCCCCTTTTTTCTGGCAACAAAACTGAAACATTTTTACAAGGATTCATGTCTGCATTAACCACAATACCTGCAATCAAAATGTAAACAAAAAACATACTATGATAACATGCATTGTCCTTGAAACTGATTGGTCCACACCAAGGGACGGCTTTCTTTTGAGCCTCGACCCAATTGGTGCTCGACCAGATGACTCCAAAAGGCGTACTTTTGTTTGCAATTTGACTGCAGGTATTGTGGTTAATGCAGACATGAATCCTTGTAAAAAGGTTTCAGTTTTGTTTACAGAAAAAAGGGGAAAACCCCTATTAATAATAAACGCGTTAAGTAATTTTGATTTAAAGCTTTCGTGACTGCAGGAATTCATATTCTTGGTTCTTTCGGTAAAGTCACGTTTTATATTTTTATTATTTTATCGTTTCCCTTCTACGTGACTTTACCGAAAGAACCAAGAATACGTTGAGTAATCTCACATTCAGTTCAAATACGACATCTTCTGGCTCAGCTGTCAAAGCACACCGCTGTTAATCTGGGTTCAAATCCAGTTTTTAGCCACTCAATATTAAACCCAAGTTCTCAAGTGCAGAAGGGTTGATGTATCTCAGCCTCATCGCCAACAACTTCACAAAAAGACATTGAGTTTTAATTTGCAGTTTGGAGAAATTCCATCTGAAAATTGAAAATACATTGTCAGTTTGACTATCATGATACAAAATCACAGCAGTGTACTGCATGGTATGTAAATTATTTTTTTAAAAGTTTAAAGGACTGTTATGGAGAGGTCCTGCGAAATACTGTATATATTTGACTACACATGGTCCAAACTTCTCTGCAATATTTGCAAATGGATTATCAATCTCACACATGATAGAATAACTTGCAGTAAGACGAACAAATGTGTTAAATAAAGTGATGTTTAAATTAGTTGCCGGAAATGCCAACACTTTACCTTTACAATCAGACACCAGTAACACCACAGTAAGAGTAAATCCGCAATTATTTCAGTCATCCAAAGGTTTAATATGACATTCAGGTTACACAAGAGCATTAAATGAACACAAACAGATTACAATAATAACCAGAACGAAAGCTCATTCGCCAGTGAACTTACATGCTACGACAGCAACACAAACACAAAGACCACAGGATTAATATTTAATATCAGCAAGTTCACAGAATCTTCGTAAAAATGTGATTAAACAGCTAGCGCCTAAAACATCACACCCAAGATTCAAGTACAAGTTATTTCCACTGCGCAGACATATACGGATCGCTGGCGACAGCACTGCACAGCCTAAAGCTTAGCAACTGTACCCACGTACTTGTGTCACGGGACGGGTTAAAAATGTTGCACACACTGCGTATTTGTGCAGGCATAGCGACGTGTTCAATCATGCTGGAGCCGTTGCAACCCAGACCACTGAATTTACCCAATTTTTGAATTAATCCTTACTTTTGAACCAATTTGCTCCCCCACCATACCCCCCCCCCCATTATTTTAAGCCGGTATATCTGCCCCTTGCTCCGTTGTCTCAGCCAGCCAAAAGTTGTAAAACATCTTGCGTCTGATGCGGTCAGGTGCCACAAAGATCAATTACGCCTGGTTTTCCACGAAACCCTGCAGCACTAAGAGCCCTAACAAGCTACGATAGCGACTAAATGCAAAAAAGAGAAAAAAAATTGAGCAAAAGAGAATCAGAGAAAGCTTTGCGTGAGCAATTCCAGTTAGCCAAAACATCTCTTCACACTACACTCTTCAAAATTTGGCAAACAACAGTAAGCAAACAGTGTGGGGTTTGGGTATTCCCTCAACTGCTTACCGACTCGCATCTAAGTGATCAGCCATTGACAATTCAGGTTACTTTGCCGATGTGCTTTAGCGGTCAGAACCTACTAAAAATCCTGCTTTTTCGCAATATTACGGTTCGTGCGGCCATCGAGCGGTGGTATGGCACGAAAACCGCCGAGATGCTCGGGCTCGCTACGCCGCCACCCTTCGGCAAACTAAAAAGTGCACGCCGTTTTTTAAAACTGCGGCAACCGCCAGTCGCTAGCGCACAGCTTCGAGCAATATGCGCAATTGAGGGGGTGAACGTTTTGGGTTGAGGGTTTTAGGGGTGAGGGTCGGGAGGGGGGGTTTAGAAAGTGAGAAATGAATGCAATGAGCCCTTCATGAACAGAGAAGAGCCAGGGATTTCCTTCCACTTTGTTTTGTGTTTTGATTCACAGCGTGCCCACCATTGAACCCCCACCTCCCTCGCGGGTGGAGGCGGCTGTGAGTGGGAGGCAGCACGGTGTCTGCTGGCTCGAGAGAGAGCGAGAGCTGTGTGGGCTGTGGGTAAATCTGGGGCTCAGTTGGCTTCATTTTCCACATCTTGCAAGGTCTCCTCCTTCGAATCCTCCTCCGCTGTGGGAGAAAGTGCAGGGAAGGGCACACAAGGACCAGCCACAAGTTCGCATCAGTCACGTGTCTTACTCGTGCCTGAACACATCACAACACTCTTGAATGGTAAAACCCAGAGTCGGTGACTCGCGATGCTTTAACAGGCCAGCAAGTACGCATGTGTGATTATTTGTTTATTTCATATAGCATCATGCATGCTAATTGCATTTCATAAACGCTGAGGAACCAGACAAGCTGGAAAGGCAGTCGGGTGGTGAGCCTGCACCAACGATGCCCAAGCTATGCTGTCCTTTAAATAATATTTTCAGTCAATGGAGTGTTTATACATGTCGGAGGAAACTGGAGCACCTGGAGAAAAGCCCCGCACGACAGGGAACATGCTATCCCATACATATTCATTGGTGGCGGTGTGTTGACAGCTGTTAACAAAAGCACATTTGTAAACAATGAATTCAAAGGAATATTATGATAGACGATAGATTTGTAGCGAAGGTAGCGACGGTGGAGAAAAATGCAGGCCGACCTAGATCCAGTGGTTTGAGAAATTTACACCAAAAAGGGTCCGTTAAAAGATAAGATCCGGTTTAGGATTCTGGGAAGCATTGAGGGCAAATTGTGAGGCTGAGCCTCTCTCAGATTGCAGTGGCTGGAAAATTTCAATTAGGGAAGAGAGGAATTATAGAGCACACAGTTCACAACTGGTGTGTTGGATCACTCAACTTGTCTACAGAGAAAGTGCCTCACTTTGCAATGTTGAGGGAGCATGTTTTACTGAAATAGGCTCTCATTTTGCCAATGCATGCAATTTTAGAGACTACCTGTTAAATCATGATCAGCGACATACACTTCAATTAAAATGAATGGATGGCATCCTTAGAAAAAGTAATGGTTTTTAAAAGGAACCAAATTGGCAGTCTAAGTTTGCCCACTGTTTCTATTACAGCAATCTAAGCAAAGGAGGCAATCTGTTCTAAGATATATTTATTGTGATATCTCATAACAAAACACTGGCACCACCATTAACTGTTTACTATAATCAACTCTATGCTGCACTAGCTGTTCCTGGGTATGCATACTTGTGAAGATAAACATCTGAGCATGCAGGTACAGTGGAACCCGCTTAGAATCCTCATTCTCCGAAGGTCACGCTACAACAAACGCAGGTCTGGTGGTTGGAGACCAAAGCCTCCACCGAGTGCGTGCATGTGAAGAATGTACGCACGTAAGCGCAAAAACAAAAAGGAATCTGCATCTCGTGTACGGGTGAACGTAACAAAAATAAAACGTTAAAAACATATATTTTACGTCCAGTTTATTTCATCTAATCGATGGCGTTTGTGAAGGCGGCGTGCGGCACCTCAACTGCTGCCGATGAACAACCCTTTTTTTTGGCCAGTGGTTTAGGACGGAAGAGAATGCAGGCACATACGAGGGGAGTTAGCTTCCTGCATGCCGAAATGGACACCGTCTTGAGCCGTCTGACGGCAAACGCACATCAGTGCTACAATTCAGAGCGCCAAACCAGTGTGCACGCATCAATATCCATTCGTCTTCAGCAACTTTATGGTGCGTGAGTGCAATGGAGCGCGCTCCACATTGCGCGAAACATTTATGGAAACGTCCCCTCCCGCCTTAGGTTATTTGTTGCAATTTTAAACAATAGAAAAACACGACAACAAAACAGCACATTACATAGCCGCACGTGACCGATTAACCACCCGCGCTCTGTGTGGCATTCGTACAAGGTGTTGCGATCATTTTATATGGCTCTTCACAAATCTGACTTTGTTACATTAATATAGTCTTACACCGTGTCGCGATTTGATACTTCTACTAACGTACATGAAAGAATTCTCCCTCGTTTAAAGTGGTTTGTGCTCTATTTTTGTCCAGTAACCTTTTTGTGCGAGGTGTAACATGTCATTTCCTGTAGAAGTTAACATCTTGACGTTTTCATATAGCAACCTATACTTCAGTACCCAGCGAGTCGGACATGTGACGTTGCACTACAAAATCAAAGCGGACACTGCAGAGGTCGTGACGTGGCCGTCGACGCGGAGGAACTGGGAAGAACAGACGGAGACCGACATTGGGCGAGTGTTTGCCACTTACCATCACCCTGCATGTCGGACGTCCACAGCGTCAGGTTGTCCCTCAGCAGCTGCATGATGAGCGTCGAGTCCTTGTAGCTCTCCTCGCTCAACGTGTCCAGCTCAGCGATGGCATCGTCAAACGCCGCCTTGGCCAGTCTGCACACGAGCGCAGGGAAACGCCGCGTCTTAATAAACGAGCTCAGCACGCAGGCGCACATGCAATCTGACCCCTTGACCTGACCTTCATGGGGCCTCAGCTTCTATTGTCACACAAAATCGTTATGTTAACTTTTGTACACGTATTGGTCTTTTTTAAATCTCTAGCTGGACAAAGAATGTTTTATTATAATGCGGAGTATATCTTAGCTCATGGTCTCACCAGAGCTCGACCAATTTAAAAATAGACCCAACAATGTTAAAAAAGAACAGGTGACAGTTGGTGCCTACATCAATGCGTAAAAGTAGGACATTTCATACCACGAGGCACCAATGATAGTAGAGTTATAGAGCTAGATTATACTGATGATCCCCAATAATGGTACATTTATTTTCCTTCAAATAAAACATCTTTAATCTCTTCGTCAATCCAATGCAAAATGAAGGTCTCCCCACACTGTGTTGGTCATAGTAATTGTTTTACCAAACTTCAGCCTACTGGTCAGTGCAGATTTGGTCACGGGGGATGCCCAGGACCGGTACAGATATCACTTGCCAACAATGTCCACACCAAGGCCAACAATCAAACTCAGGACCAGGTTCATAGTACGGCGTGGTAACCACTGTGCCCGCCACTGCCCCCTCTTTTATTCCGCATAGCTGTACAATGTAAATGGTTTGAAATATCCACGGGACAACATTTTCATCCGCCGGCTTCGACTGTTGCACTCACACATGCGCTGCTCCAGTGAGCCTTGCCTAAAAGCATCAACGGGAAATGACGCCGCACAACACTTAGGTGGGCGCGTGGCCAGGTAACCTGCAGGCGCGGTCGGGCGAGTTGAGGATCTCGTAGTAGAAGACCGAGAAGTTGAGCGCGAGGCCGAGGCGGATGGGATGCGTGGGCGGCAGCTCGGTGGTGGCGATGTCACTCGCCGCCTTGTACGCCACCAGGCTGTTTTCCGCCGCCTCCTTCCGGTCGTTGGCCGTGGTGAACTCTGCCAGGTACCGGTGATAGTCGCCCTTCCTACATAAACAGCAAAGTGTAAAAAAAAATTTTACAACAAAATTAAGGGATCGCTTGGACAGAGGCACAACCCCAGATAAACAAAAAAAATACTGTAGTCTTCATTAACATTGCCCTTATAATTAAGTACAAAAACATAACACGCTGACAATTTAAACAAAGGTGTTTCTTTGGAATAAAGCGATGGCAAAGACATCGACTGCTGTGTCGTTGTAGATGTCTCTTTACACTGTCGTGCACCTATGAAGGCTGGAAACGGTCTGCTCTCCTTTATCCACCAATGGAAAACTGTTTATATGTCTGATAAAGCTTGGCAACTTGCCTACAATACCCCACTTTTTCTCAGCGCACCAACAGCCTAATCCAGTTAACCTCTCTACTCTCAATCTCTGTTTAAAACATTGGCCATTGCTCGAAGTGGGTCAACCATTTGTACACTTCTGTTGTAAGGGAATGATCATGAGGAGGGGCAGGAACAAAATGATCTACACATTTAGCTAAATTAAGCAATTTCTCCATAGCTGTGTGGCACTTCGTAGATGAAATGAACTTCTACAAAGGAATTTAACACTTTACAGTCCTTCACTGCGCTCGAGTTAGAAACTGGGCGAGGCTCACATTTTGTAGTAGAAGACTTTGGACTCGCCAGTGGAGGCGGTGGGGATAAGGTGCTTATCTAGAACGTCCAGGATGTCGCCGCAAATTGACTTCAACTCTTTCTCCACCTGCGTGGGCACAACAGACCTGCAATTTAGACATTTGTGTAGTGCTGCACCGATGTGAAAGAGACCAAAATCGCACAAGCCACATGTTGTCATGATCCTCGTGATGGCAAATGGCAAAGATGACAATGACCTTGAAAGTGCATTCAATTTCTAACGCTGCAAGCGGCCGAAAAAAGAGACAGGTTTACCGAAAAATATCATGCTGACGTTCAAAATGTTTACTTAATTGCCGTACATTTACATTTTGATCTCATCACATATAACTATCCCTGCGCATGTACACGTCCTTTTTATTGTTTATTCAACTAGCTTCAAGCGGCCTCTATTTTTACTATGACTGTCGAACAAAATTTGGCTGCCACCAATGAGCGTGGTCCCACATCCTGGCCGAAGCCGACACACCCAATCCACTACCCAGGGTTCAGCTCACCATCTGCCGGTACTCGCGGATGAGCTTGAGCTTCTCCTCGCCACCCTTGCTCTCCTCCTTCTGCTCGATGGACGAGATGATGCGCCAAGACGCGCGCCGCGCCCCGATCACGTTCTTGTAGGCCACCGACAGCAGGTTCCGCTCCTCCACCGACAGCTCCACGTCCAGCGCCGCGACCTTCTTCATGCTCTCCACCATCTCTGTGGGAACCGACACCAGGCCAGTTGACTACACCGCCATACGTCGTTTCTCAAGGGACGTTTGCGCTGTCAGCGCTCGTTTGCAGCGAGACGTCTCCTTACGGGTGCCGGGCTAAAAGCGCCTTCAAGCTCTTGAAAGGGAGACAGGGAAAATGGCCACGCGTGAACGCACGGCAACATCTACAAATGCCTCCATTTTCTGCAATGGCCTACGCGAGTCCACAATTCTGTACGCGACACATTGCATTTTTCACAGCACATAGGTAGCATTGCAAATGGAGTCCCCTTTGGGAATTCCCACAACCCAACCCCCGCCTCCAATCGGCACAACGCCCCTGCAGCTACCTTATTTTTCTTTCTGACAAAAAGCAATCTTCCTTGCATGTAAACATGCAGTGTACACAAGATGCCATTTGATACTGCAGTACACAGGAAACAGTGGGTATATATATTTCCTTTTGCTTGCGATTTTAACTCGCTCCGATATGACTGAGATTTTTTTTTGGGAGCCTGAACCAAATGAATAGTTTATCATGTGGCTTTAGCAATGCTGGCTCTCTTCCTCTCAATTGCTCAGACACTTTAATGTACCTAATATTCTCAGAATAATATTGCACGTATCTGCCAATCACACATTCGTATCGTGTGGGTCAAGTACACTCATAAAAGCTAACATTGACAAATAAGTGTCACAGCTTGGCAGCAATGCATAGCCAGAGTAAACACTATTAAAGAATGCCAAATTTGAATTTCAGTATATATTTACCAAAAGTGAGCAATGAAAAATATAAAATTGACCTGCTCTTCAAAACTGCATCAATAGCATAAATTGTCACCTATTTAATTACCTTGCTTTTATCAAGTGATTACACACCAACAAGAAAGGACACCTGACAAACAACAATTATTAAAGTAATATTCTCCACACCACAATGACTGCGGCACATGGTGCTGGCTTGGTCACCTGGGTGTACCACACACTCGTAACAGCCAGCGTGGCGCGTGCATGCCCCCCCCCCGCCGCTTTGAGCATGGTCTTCGACGCGTCCTTGCACATCTTGGGAGGCACGACCAATTACTCTAATGAGTTTCCCCCCTTGACCCTGGGGGCCCAGTCACTCTGCTTCCTAGAACTTGTCAAGCAATTGCATTCAAAATACTAAATTAAAGGAAATGGCTCGTGAGATGCACAGCGAAACAGGGGCACCGGCCTTGGAAGGTGGGGGGGGGGAACGAGATAAGGCGAGGTAAAATGCAATGGAAGAAGAAAGGTTTTGAGCAGATATATCGAGCAGATTGGTAGGCATCACGTTTTGAAAGTATATATCTAGATGGGCAGGGCAGTCGAGAAAAGATTAAGCAGACTTAAAAGGTTGCAGATGCGAGTTCAAGAAAAGTATATGGCAGGTCTGCGAGGTGGCATGGAGATGGCAGTACAGAAATGGATTCTAATATATATCTCTCTATATTGCACTTTGAGTTGTTACTCTTTCTGATACAAATATTTTTCTCCAGGTACTCCGGGATGTTTGATGTTTGATCAATATAATTGATCAAACGTCCCAATTCAGAATTCTAAATGAAATAGTCCTGAGACTCGGCGAGACTGTCCTGGCAAATAAAGAGAGCACGTCATGAAGTACCGCAAATCAGAACCTAAAGAGGCGAGGTGGGCGCGAGGCTGGCAGGGGGGGCATCAGGGTAGCGAGGGGCAACAACGCTACGGCATCACGGTTGCCATGCACACCAGCAGTGTGCACAGTGGATGCGGTACAGCAAAAACCAGAGAAGGCTTGAGAGCCAGAACCATGCAGCCAATTGATGCCCATTGCTACGGTGCCCAGCTAAATCGCCGCAGGGTCATTGATTACAAACACAGTAATATATTTTTTTAAATGAACTGCAATACAGTGTTGTTCACACGGTGACATTACACACAAATGATAATTCATCAGTAGTAAATTAAGGCACAACACATTCTGCAAGCTAATTTCTACTCTTGCTGAGAATCATATTGCATACACACGTGTCTTATAAAGTAATGAAACACTATGTACTGGACAGTCTTATGCATATACTCGTGGTATAATTACACAGAGTATACGCATGCATGCTCTGTATAATACGTGATTACAGAAAGCGTGACTTCACATTCCATTACAGCTGTTGTATTATTGAGGACTCCTATTTTAAATTCAAAAAGGCTGTGTCTCCAAGCAATGCGCACCTCTACTAGCACAATATTACACACTACAGTGCACGGTAATGAAGAGGCAGCAGTGGTGCGTGCTATGAACCCCGGAAAATGAGTCTGATTCCCGACCACTGCTGACATCAGTGGCAAGTGATATCAGAAACGATCATGGGCCCAATCATCACCAATCTACCCTGGTCAAATAACCCACATGACCAACACGGCGTGGGGGAGGCCTTCATCCAGCATGTGGTAAATTGACAAAGGACTGTCAACTATTACATTAGTATTGTGCCACGCTACTATAAGTAAAGCTGTTATGAGCACACGAGTACAATGCACTGCTTAAGATAGCACGCGGCGTGACACAGTCCTAAGCACAACGTTGCATCGAGGTCTCTGCCATTGCTGCTGATGCCACCACACCTCGCCATCCTCCTCTCCTTCCTTCTTCCTGGAGGTCAATCAGCTGTCAAAAAAGTCCGGCAATCGCCCTCTCCAAGATCCGTTATGACCCGAGCATGAGCCATTGTTAAAGTAGAAGACAATGAATGACACAAACAGTAAGAACGCAGCATGGCAAGCGGTGCTTTAGTATATGCAATACGATTCTGGATGAAGGCCTCCCCAAATCAGAAAAATAGAATCTTAGGATAAAAATATTTTTTTTCCCCCAATAACACCTGTTAAGCTATGGTTGGGTCAAGCACTATCATCCATGTCCAAACCTGCTTAGCTTCTGAGATCTGGCTAGATCAGGCGAATGCTGGGTTGTTTATTCATAGGCAGAGATTTAGTTATTTGCAAACATGATTGTTCTTCTTACTTTGTGAATTCATGACGTCGACAAATGGGAACGGCACCTCAAGTAATAACCGCTGACCTATTGTTTCAGGTGGTCCGGTTGGGTTGGAGGGAGGGTTGTAGCCGATTGCGTAAGATCGGTGTAAAAAATACCCAGTTTCACGCGAGTATCAAGTGTAAAGTAAGGACAATTCGAAATGGTACATTTTTCATTTTTTGGGACTAGGCCCTAAAGAAGGCTGTCTCTGGTGTAGGCCAATCAGTTTCAAAGACAATGCAAATATTGCATATATTATGTTATCAGAGCATGTTTGTTTGCATGTTCACAAGTACCGTGCGTGGTTAATGCAGTACAGTACTTGATTCCTTGCAAAATGTTTCTATTTGGTGTTTGAACAACTTAACACATCTTGTTTTATTGCCAGAAAGGGTGAAACCTATTATTTGTTCATACAAGAACAGTTCGCTTACGCCGTTTCATTGAATCGGCTTCTGGAAATGAATCTTGGCGGTCTTTGCGCCGTACTTTTCTTTGCATTCCAGGTATTGCACAAAAAGAGACATCTGTCTCAAAGGACTCCACGCATGGCTCTAATGAATGTCACTATACAGTATCTATTACTGGTAGGAACGAAGTTGTAAACTGAGTGTACCAGCCTGCAATAGATTAATGTGTCCGTCCGTTCCCTTTCAATACTTTAACTAAGTGAAATCTCGTGCTGTTGGGTGTAAAATCAGCAATAGACAGCGCAGAGACTTGATATGTCTTATAAAATTGCGCAAAATTCCAATGTTCCTACCAGCCCACCCTGCAGTGACCTGTTTTGTGTGTGTAGATGATATTCCTGTGGCCAAATCACCCGGAAATCGCCTGGATAGCGCTTGGATCGGTTGACCACCGTGTGTACAACTTGGTGCTCTAGGCTGCGGCGTGGCTACCTGCTTGCTGGTCATCAGCAGCGGGGAGTGCAGCACAATCCATCGTTGTGCTGTGCTTCTATGCTCCCAACGCCTTCACCAAGCCGCACAGACCAGCGTGGTCAAATAACCACCACTCCCCCAACACCCCTCTCCAAAAGAGTGACAAAAGTACCTTTAATGTTCAATGTAATTACAATGCAAGTTAAATTATGGTACTGTATTGTCGTCTTTTGTGGGTGGCATTCTGCACGTTTCTCGTATCAGCACGCAAGGGGAAGGGCCAGCGGCTACCTGCACGGGCGAGGGAAACGGGGGGTGTGGTGTGGTGGGGAACCCCCCCCAACATGTAATAGAAGATTAAGTGACAACCATTTCATTAAAACAATAACGGCATTGGCGATGTGTTAATTTAATAAGCGTCGCCTCCACCGGACCCACAAACACCGCACCAACTTCCAGATCGCGCGCATATCCGTCAACGCCTGTCAACAACGTACATCCACGGAATTCCCCCCCTCCCCACCGCCGCCCCACTAACAGCACGCGAAGTATGGCACACGTACCGACTTATTTAGTGCGGGCTTTTTTTTGACGGACACCATTGACCGATCGTTATTTATTTCATTTAATCTTCAACGCTTCCCGAAAGGGCCCCCCCCCACCACCACCACGCCACACTTCCCTCCATGCCGTTGGAAAGCCTCGAGCAGCAATAGGGCGGTGATGCGGCCAAACTGCTCCCACGCACGATTTGCTGCCACCCAACGCCTTTTTTTTTAGTGAACGCGAGGTCCACTGAGCAACGCGACCCCGTCAAAAAAACATGTCATCACCAACATCCCGACACGCGTTTAACGAAACGATAATCAACGCAGATATGGGGGGGGGGTGGTGGTGGTGGTGGGAGCCTCTGAACGGCACAAAGAGGTAGCCATGTACGAGCGACCTATTTGCGTCCCGTGGAAGGAGACGCGATTTTGTCTCGCAGCCGGGGCGACTCGCTCGCGAGGCTCCCCAACCTGGGGGGGGGGGGAGAAAAAAAACGGCCGCGAAAGAGACGGCGCTTCGCCCTCTCATTTTCACTCGAATTTGTAATCACTTAAAACAACCACGTACCGTCGTAGCGCTCGGCCTGTTCGGCCAATTTGGCCTTGTACACTTGATCCTCCTTGTCCTCCATGACGGATGGCGCGTTTTGACGGTGGATTCCACTCGGATTCTCCTTCGCTTTAATTTGTTTATTTTCTCCGCTCGCTCTCGCCCGACGATCAAGATGGCCGAAAGTAGCGCCGGGGCCGCGGTGGTGGCTGGGGGGGGGGCCGGCGGAGGAGGGGGGGGGGAACTTCCACCCAGGCCCCACCCCTCAACCCCCGCGCCCCGCCCCCCGAGTTTCAAATCCCTACATCGCATCGACGCGGACGAGCGCGCCCCTCTTCCCATTGGAGTGGCTGACGAGAACCCTCGTCCAATCACGGACAATGGTGGTGGGGGGGGGTTGGTCACGTGACGCGCGCCGGGCAATGGCGTTCGTCGAAGGCGTCCGATCCGTTCTGCGAAATCCAACGGCGGCAGTCGCGCGCGCGCCGGGAGCGGGGAGGCGGTTGCTAGGCGACGCGTTTGCGTCATCGGTGGGGGGGGGGGTGGCGCGGGGGCACGTTCCGGTGACGTCAACGCGGCAAGCCATGGGCGGGGCGCGCGCGCGGGTTGGTGGGTGGGGGGAGAGAAGGAGCGGTGGGTGGGTGGGCGGGGGGTCGAGTTGCCATGGATACGGGCAAACCCACTGACGTCATGCGCAATTCTGCACTGAGGAAATTCGCTGATGCGATTCGCCTTCAATAATTTCCCCGTGCGGCTGATTGATGTCCCGTCACTCACCAAAATTAAAACAACATATACACGAGCTAGTAGTGCACGCGTCCTTGCTCACTCTGTGATCTGATCCGCATGCCACGCGTAGCCCTGCGGCAATTTGGCCCAGGGAAAACTGTCCATGGTGATACATAAATGAGGATATTCTTGGTTCTTTCGGTAAAGTCACGTAGAAGGGAAACAATTAAATAATAAAAATATGAAACAATACAATTCTCACGACGTTTCGACTGCAACACAAGCAATCATCATCAGGTGTGAAAACCACAGCAAGAAAAAATTCAAATTTTCAAAATTTTCTTGCTGTGGTTTTCTCACCTGATGATGATTGCTTGTGTTGCAGTCGAAATGTGAAAATTGTATTGTTTTATTATTTTATTGTTTCCCTTCTACGTGACTTTACCGAAAGAACCAAGAATATGAATCCCTGCAGTCACGAAAGCTTTAAATAAAACAAATAATGAGGATGTTTTAAAAATACATATCCTGCTTCCAATTAGCAGGAATGTGTGAGAGATGATTACACTCTTGTGGATAAAACGATAAGTTTTCTTCTCATGCATTGCCGATCTATTTTGAATCCGAAGTAGATCGTTAACTTCCTGCATCCTAAATCAGAATCAGATTACTGTAGCGTAGGGCACATCTCCAAAAATGCACCCTCCAATAATCCACAAAATCGTGTAATTCACGAATAACCCGCCGTTTGCAGCTTTTGTAATCCGGGGGGGGGGGGGGGGGGGTGGGACCATTGATCCTGAAATCCACAAAAATATCGATTATCTGGATCGTTTCCAGTATTTGTCCGGGAATCCGCGTCACACCGCGTCGGTACAAAACACTTTCCGCGAATTATGTTGCAAACCTCCACGGAGTGCCGCAGCATTTTCTTGCTGTGGTTGTCCCACCTGATGAAGTTCACTTGTGTTGCGATCGAAACGTCGTGATTTGTTTTATTTTATTTTATTTCTACCTACGTGACTTTACCGAAAGAACCAAAGAGTATGGATTCCTGCAGTCACGAAAGCTTCAAATCAAGATTGGTGCGCCGCAGATTATGGGATCTGCGATATGGCCCCCAAATATCAACGTGGATAATTGGAGTCGTGCTGTATTACACAAATTAAGAACATCTGCATTTTTTCCTGGTTGTAAATTGCATACTTGTTTTGTTAGCACGTTTTGTCATCTGCCCTATCAATTTTCCTAAATATTTATCAAATAAACATTGCTCATTCGAACAAAAATGTATAATTGGAAACCAGGAGAAAAGTACAAACTCGGCATATACAGTAATAGGCGACAACCCCGTACGGTTGCTACAAAATAGAAACACTTTGGAACATTGAGAAATCTGCTTCAACTCAAAACAAAGAAAGCATCCATGAAATTAATTGTGGGACAAAGTGCAATGTCGTGCAATTTATTTTGCAAGCACTGTTTAGGATTACATGGAAATTGGCCACCAAAAAGGACACTAAAAATCAACAACCAGCAGCAATATCATACAACAACAAAAAACACTAGAAAGCACCGGTAAGTAATCCCAACAAAATCAGATGTAGTCATTGAAGATTATGTTTTACCGCTGAGATTTACGTGCAAAGTTATTATTGTCGTTACATTTCAAGCCAATATTGGTACAAAATGTGCCGTGCTCTTCGCAATTATATGCATTATACGATTACGTTTCTGGAACGATATCTGCTTTCAATAAACCGTTCACCCCTCGATGGCTCGTGTCTCATTAATGGGACGTGTACAGCTGCCCCATGCCACCCAAGTCAGCAGTCCAGTGGTCCCGCATGTGGCCACAGCTTACTCGACCTTAGTTGAACCCATAGGAATGGCAATAATTCACTGAAATTTGGTACTTCTAGTTTCGAGGATGTATGACATAGGTATCCATTCATCATCAGCCATGGTGAATCCACTGCTGGATTAAAGCCTCTTTAAGCTGCCACCACCGCTCACCATCCATCCTACAATGCGATAATAATGCCACCTGACGCCACTTGCACACTAGCTGATTTTACATTACCGTGAAGTCAAATAAATACCCACACTTAACAATACAGGTTTGCCAGTGTACATTTTTAAGTTCAAACTCTAATGGATGTTTGAGATGATGATAAGGTGGAGTATTTTTTACATATAAAAAAATTAAGTCCAGCCTCAAGACCTTTCTTTTTACCTCTGCCTGGGTCTGACTACCTCTCTCTATAAAATAAGTATGACCGTTTTTTATACTCTTTGGTTCTATTCGGTAAAATCACGTAGGTAAAAAATAAAACAACAAAAAATCACGACGTTTCGGCCATCGTGATTTTTTGTTGTTTTAATTTTATTTTTTACCTACGTGACTTTACCGAATAGAACCAAAGAGTATGGATCCTTGCAGTCACTAAAGCTTCAAATCTAGAACGGTTTTTTTTGTAAAGCTTCCGGATATGTGATCATATTTAGACACGATATAAATCTAAATTGTATTTTATTATATCACGGCTTACCATGCCTGCACAAAAATTTGGCGAGACCAGACGAAAGAGGAGGCTTATAGAGGCAGATACAGAAAGACGCAGCAGAGACACACACACACAGACATCGATACACGAACAGAAACAGACCCAGAAATGGACACAAATATCGTACAGAGAGAATGAAATAAACAAAAACAGACACAGGTATACTGACAGGTGGAGACACAGAGGCATGGTGACATCGAAAGACAAAGACAGAAATAGGAAGACATGAAGCGAGACAGACTCTCATTAACCGAGTGTATGTTTATTACCATTATAACGTATTGTAAATACTCTTACGTTTCACCTGCATGTTCGAAATAATCGGTGTAAGTTTGCTGTAGTTTGTTGAGTGTTGACTCCTGTAACAGCGGCAATCTTGTGCCTCTGTATGTTGGTGAACAATAGTATGAATCGTATTTTTCGACATATATATACAGTATTGGAAAATGGGCTTAATATTGCGATTAAATGTTGACCATTCGCCAACAGCAGCCAAGACTACCGTGTCAACCCATGTGATTTACCCAGTATTCTTGTACAGGGAAATTGAGTTTTCAGGTCCATACGGCGTACATCCGTTTCAAAAACGGGCAACAACAACAAAAATGTGTCTATTTGTTTGTGTTTCTCTCTTGTGATGGGACTTTGTAGGGTGAACGTTGAGATTTATAAGGGGGCACGGGGGTGACCAATAAGGTCTGAATTTCTCTGTGATAAGAATGGGTTGACGGGTATGATGGCCACGTGTCATTGTATTGTTTCCTATGAAAGAACAAAACATTCTCTTTTCACGATGCATCCTGGAAGGTAACGTGCCGAATGCTGACCCTGCGATTCGACTTTATTTTATTAAGTGTTCATTATTTTTTTCCACAATAAACATCGCTTTTGAATTATGCCCATTGCTCTTTCCTATAACATCTTCACTCATATTAAAATGTTGAACACTGACAAAACACGGCGTTTTGTGCCCCCATATTTTAGTTGTAAATCGACGTTGTCGGGATTTCATGATAGACATCGATGTTTTCCTTTGCAGGGTCCCCATCCACGCATTGCTGTTGTATCGCGTGGGCACGCTTCATTATTTATGTGCTGTCATTGCCACTTGTCGACGTCCCTCGTTTGTAGACGTCCGTCTACATTCCACCGCGTGGTGGACTCCCCAATAGACGTTTCGCGACACGTATCTGCACCGTCTTCTTTTTTTTTAACTGACGGCGCTCTCAATGCCACCCCCCACCCCGCCCCGAAACCACCACTGCCCACAGCGTGCCCGCCTCCGCACCAATGGGAACGCGCTTCGACTGCGTGATCGTGCCACGACGACCAATCAGAGCCGCGACGAGGCGCGTGATCGGTGGCGAAGGCGGCCAATGGGCGAGCGCCGGAGAAAACAGCTGTGAAAAGCGCGCGAAATTCGCAGTGGATCAACACGTGGCCGCCGTCGGGCGCGGGTCGCGTGCTCCAGCAGTGACGCCGCCTTCACGTGTGACGGCACAGCCCTTTTGTTATTCCACTGCTAGGATGCGGGCCTCTCCTATGCCCTGCGGGTTTACAGGACCATACTTCACCACGCCGTTCAGTGCCGGTTGGTGAAGGCGGGTAGAGAATATAAGTACTGTAGCGTTCTAGATTCGAAGCTTTCGTGACTGCAGGAATTATTCTTTGGTTCTTTCGGTAAAGTCACGTAGAAAATGAAATAATAATAGGGACGTCGTATTCTATTAGTATTTTATTTTCTACGTGACTTTACTGTAGCAGTGACTATACAATGCACTTTGCTGTTACTGCCCACTGCGTATCACCCCACATACCTTATCCGTTCAAAACTAGTGTCCACTCTTAAAGCACGACATTACATTCACAAGCATATCTTGCTGTCTCTCTCTCCCTCTAAGGCCGTTTGTGTTCCTTTA